TTTTATGCCCTCTGTTGCTATCACTAATTTCACTTTTTTAAAAAAACGAAACATAATTACATGCAGGAAAAAAAGAATGCAATTTTTCTTTTGCTTTTCATATATATCTGGGCAATTGTCAAATGCACACACAATTATTTCTCCTAAAGCCTAAATAAGAAAACTTTCACTTGGTACAAAAGCATGATAGAGGATTAATTGTGCAATGTTCAGAACAGGTTTCTATTAATGTACAAGTGTGCTAAATTAGAGAGATTTCTTATGTTGGGAAATAAGTTTCCAGTATCTCAACAGTAACCCTGTTTTTCATGGGCAGACATTCCACCAGTGGAATAGGGAAGCAGGATTTTTTAAAAAGACCTTATACTTTGCTTCCATGTTGTTGTTGTTTTTTTTTGGGGGGGGCCTACTACCTCCCCCTGGGATCAGTGCAGTGATACAGGCAGGAAGGTTAACCTAAATTCAAAGGGAATTTTCCCAACATGGGTTTTTATAAACACCAAACAATCTCCTCTATTCAACTGGAAAACACCATGCCTTTTCAGTCTTGCAGCTGAAGATAAGCACCTGAAGGGAGGACCAGCTAGCACAGATGTGTTGACTTGCTATGAGGGCCAGTCAGGCCAGGCCATGTGTGCCATAAAACGAATGCCAGGTACGAGAGATATAAACTTTATAAAGGACAGCAGCTGATAAGATCCTAGTTTGTGTCTCCTCACTGCAAGGCCCCATTGGCTGGGAGGGGGGGTGCACAGAGGAAAACCCACATGGTGGACTGGAGAGCCAGCAGTACAATGCTGGGCAGATGCTCCCATGCTGCTTGACTGCTGAAGACGAGGTTGTTCCACCATGCTGAAGCCACAACCGCAGTGGTTCTGCCCACTCACACCCCAGAAGTCTCCTGTTCCCTCCCTTGCACCAGTTGCTTGTGGGATGCATGAGAGCCCGGTATGGGCTGGCTCTGGCCCCTGGGCTTTATGTTTGACACCACTGAGCTAGCACTTCACACCATGAGCTAACAGGATGACCCTCCTGTTTGCCTGGAGACCAATGCTGGAAACAAAGTAGAGAGCTCTCCTTTTAATGATACTCTGGAGGAGGACTTAATATGTTCTTTTACTGCTCTCTTGGCTTCAAAGCAGACAGCAATCACTGATAGTTTGGATTAATTGAGGTCTGGTAATTGAGAATGGTTGCTTAGCATAAATTACTCAAATTCTGCGGTAGCTGCACTGGCTACCAATTAGTCTTTGGATCCAATTCTAGGTGCTGGTGTTAACCTTCAAAGCCCTTAGCGGACAGGGACCTCATACCTACGAGACCACCTTACAACCCCCCGCGCTCCCTTGTGTCATCATCTAGGGGCCTCTTGCAGGTACCTGGCCCCAGGATGGCTCAATTAACTGTCACCAGGGAAGGGCCTTCTGAGTTGTGGCCCCTACACTGTGGAAAGCACTCTTGGATGACACCTATGCCCTGTTGAACTTGTGAAGTTACTGCAGGGCATGTGAAGCTGAATTATTTAGGTTGGCCTTTGGAGGTAACCATGGGTTACGGTTGTTTTAATAGTGGTATGGTGACAGTCATGTATTTTAATGTTTTAATGCTTTGATATTTGTTGTTTTTATGTTGTTTTTACATTTTGGGTTTTTATTTATTTATTTATTTCATTTATACCCCGCCCTCCCCGCATGCAGGCTCAGGGCAGCTTACAAAACACAGAGGTGTAATACAATACCACAAGTTAAAAACAATTAAGGCATGCAGTGCAATGAAATACAGTTAAAACAGTTTAAGCACAGTGGACAACTCCCAGGATCCATCATGACTAATATGCTCACTCCCTATTGTACATCACATTTGGGTCAATGAGAGGGGTGCCATGGGCCACGATGTCCAGGTGGCCAATCAGCCCAACCTGGTGGTACTGCTCTGCGATCGCCCGTTGGTGGTAGTGGCGGTGGCGGCTCCTATTCGAAAGCCTGGCGGAAGAGCTCCGTCTTACAGGCCCTGCGGAACTGTAACAGGTCCCACAGGGCCCTGATCTCCTCCGGGAGTTCATTCCACCAGATAGGAGCCGCCACTGAAAAGGACCTGGCCCTTGTGGCAACAAGCCTGGCCTCCTTAGGGCCCGGGGTCACTAGGCGGTGTTGTGACCCCGACCGAAGTGCTCTTTGGGGCCTGTATGGGGAAAGGCGGTCCCCTCAGGTATGCTGGACCCTGGCCATATAGGGCTTTAATGTTGTAAGTTGCCACAACACCCTTTGGGTAAGCAGCGACTAAAAACCTCAAATAAATAAACAAACAAATAAATAAATAACTTATGCAAGCACTACTTTTTACACTAGATAGGATCCAAGCCCTAGTCTATATTCAAGCACTACCGTATCACACAGTTGTAGACAGATTTTCAAACAAAAAATGAAGGTAGTATTAGTATTATTCTACAGGTATAAAAGCTTGGAAATGTTTAAGCATTTTACTCCATGCAAAATACATGAGGGAACTGGGTACTTCTATATAGCTGAGTGCTCAGTGGGGTAATGAAATCAATTTAAGACAGCATTTCAACTACAAAAATAACCAACATTAATGCAATCTTATAGTTTTGATTTTACAGGGTGTCCTACCCACGAACAAGTGTTTATGATAATAAAATGTGAATTTAAAAAACTGTTGCATCAGGACAGTATCATAACTAGCTGAGGCATGCTGGGGCTATAAACTATGGCTGCGGTCTCACGCGCCAGAAAAAATGGGGGGGGGAGAAGCGAGGCTATTTCCTCTGGAGGAATCTGACCCACAGTTGCATGATCACACCTCCCTTTGAAGCTGCGGGCACAGACCATCAGTGCGTGATCAGACGCAACTGCGGGTGAGTCGGGAGGGGGGGGGGTTGTGCCATTTTCCTTCCATGTGCTTAACCAAGGGATCGATGACTCGCACATCTGCACTGCGGTTTTTCCTGTGGTGGTGTGTGTGGCGGGCGAACTGCGGAGGGGGGGGGGAACAATGGCACGGAGTCAGGATGGCCTGATCAGACCATACCGATGCCATGAGAGTGCGCTGGAGCGATCAGACATGGGAAAATCTGTCTGTGGCCCATCGCAACCCATTTACTACCAGATTTTCCCCAGTGTCTTTTAATTCTGCTTCTGCAGTGGAGCAGAATGGGTTGTTGACAGCTACGGGGTGCTTCCCAGACATTGTTGTCTTGACTGCGCCCTTTAAATCCACCTGGCATTTGCGCCTATGTCGGGTCTAACTGTGCATATGATCGCAGCCTATGACAATGTGGCAATTGGTGCAATCTTGTAACAGCCAATAAGAGAATACTAATCACACTGGCACATTAGCTCAATGCTCAGCAGTGGTACGGAAGCTACAGTTGGCCTGGTAAAGACATTCCTATCCACCACCACCCCCCAAAAAAACCCACCCATTGTGACCACTTCATGGACAGCTCTACACCTACCTATAGCAACAAACAGGTAATGTGAAACACTTCTACCTGAGATCCCGGAGAGCTGCTGCCAGTTAGTGCAGGCAATACTGACTTTGATATACTAATGGTCAGACACAGCATAAGGCCGATTCACATGAATCCTGTGCAATGACACTGACTATTCAGTTTTTACGAATTTATTTAGATTTTGTGCTTTAAGGGTATTTGGCAAATGAAGTGATAGAATTTGTGGTTTGAAGAAACAGATGTATTCACTGTGAATATTTGTGCCTTGAACATGTGCTAGGATAATGCATAACTATAGTATCTGATTTCTAATGCTATATAAACACAGAAACAACCTACTTACACATGTACAGAAGCTGGAGCATCATCCCTATGAAAGGTTCCTTCACTTCCAACCATCTCACGGCGCTTTCCTGCTCTGTCTTTGTACTTGGGATTTTTCACCACATTATCATTTTCATAGTCTGCATTCTTTCCAAACACAAAGCAACCCAAGAGCTGTGTAAGCTTTTCATTTCTGAACATTTTCAATATGCAACTGAATTTTTTAAAAATAACAGAGATATATCCTTAACAATTCACAGGACATTGGTTTGTCAAGCTGACTTTGAAAAGCAGAATATATGAAGGGGTGGCAGGGACAAATGCCAAGAGAGACTGCAGTTTAAAAGACTGGGTTGGCATTTCTATGCCAGTGAATTGTCATTTGCTACTGCTGGAAGGAAGCATTGACTGCAAGGGCTCAATGAAATCCACCACGTTCTATTAAATGCTTCATTACCACTTTATCCAAACAGCTTTCACAACTGAGTAGAATGCCGTAAAAATATTCAGAAGCCACAGTTCCCAAGATGTAATCTTTTATCAAAACAACAGCAATACACTTTCATCAGCTGACACTTTAAAAAGTAAAAACTTACCTGCAAACCATATTTTACACGTATTTGTTTTAGTGCTTTTCTTCTATTTAACTCCTTCTCCTCTTTTGTCAGTGCAGGGCCAACTATAAGATACAGTTAAAAAAACATAGATAGGAATCCCAAAGACCGCTGCAATGACTGACATGACTATACAAGACTATCCTACTGACAAGCTCATTGCTAGCTCAAATTAAAAGGCCTTTATGCTATTGCAGCACAATTTCAGACGGAAATTTAATTAATTTTTTTCCTTCCTATAATCTGCACCCTATGCTAACAGCCATTTTCATTTTTAGTTCTAGCAACCATATAATGGGATAAGCAATAGCCTACCATTGCCAATGTTAAAATACATTCTGTTGAGTTTTAGCTTTTGTTGATGGCGCTCAAACACAACATATAAGCACACCAAAGAATTAAGATTCTTTTGGTAATCCTAGTTCAACTCTCCACTGTATTACCTGTTTTTGTATTATTTAAAGCAGGAGTGGCCAACTTGGGTGTGGGGTGGGGTTCTGTCCTGCTAAGCTTCTTGGAGGCCAGACCCTTGTTGTAATGCCAGCACTACTTCTCTTCACACCTCCCCCCCATGTACATTAGGCAGGCTGGATCTGGCATCACATGCTGAAGTACACTTAAGAATCTGGGGTTTCCTCTCATTTAGCACTGAGAATGGTATAGACTAGCTGGAGGGATGCCTGAGAGTAGAGCTCTTAGTATTCTTCATCAGTCTGCCCTTTCAGCATTCCTCATGGGGTCTCTCACCACCCTCCTTCCATTAACAATGTGGGGCTCAGCAAGGTAACACTTCTTGTGTCAAGAATCCTCTGAAAGCTTGGAGAGTACCCAGTGAGCACTGTGCACCAAAGCACTAGGTCAAAAGTGGCATGTATGACACCTACTGCTACTAAACCAAACCAAAATGTAATATTACAGGGGCCTTGGGGCCTCCTCTCATTGCACTGGGGAGGAGGGGATACTGGGAGAAGCAACATTTCCAGACCAAAGCATGGACCACTCTTGGGCTTTTGGTGGAATGGTGTGCCTGAGATGTCAGGAAGGCCATTGTTCTACCGGATGTGTAAAACATAATTGTTGAAGAGAGCACTTTTATACATGGAATAGGGTTGTAGTTTATTGCAGTTTATTGTATTATCTTGTTTTCTAAATTCTGTAATCCTCTTTTTGCATTGCTTGTGGTATGTTATACTGTTTTTTATTGCTCTGTTTTCTAAAATGTGGAGTATAAAGTAAATACACATTTCTCCCTTCTGGCTTGTACTCTCTTAAGTGAAGGGATGGGGCAGCAGAAAACTAGGACAGGTCTGGTTGTAAGCTGTGCCAATTCCAGTCAGCCATCTCTAACAGATGTCTAATTGCAAGTGGATCAATAATAATTAGTAATTTAATTCTATGGAAATGAAACCATGAAGTCTGGAAGCTCTAATGACTTAGGTTTAGCTTGCTTGAGATAACTGACACAAAAGCACACAACTTTAAAGGTTCTTCATTTTTGTTAAAAGCACCCCTGAACTTCAATACTGCAGAATCAACTTTCAAAATGCTAGACATTCTTCAAAACTTTCATTACTAAATCCTTGCATATTTGCTTTAAGGTACCTTGAATGTTAGCAGTTTGAAAGCAAGAAATTGCAAGTAGATAAATAGGTACCGCTTTGGTGGGAAGGTAACAGCATTCCGTGCGCTTCAACGTCTAGTCATGCCGGCCACTTGACCACGGAAATGTCTTTGGACAGCGCTGGCTCTTTGGTTTGGAAACAAAGATGAGCACCGCATCCCTATAGTTGGATATGACTGGCTTTCGAACAAGGAAAATCTTTATCTTACCTTGAATGTAGGTTTACAAAAGCATCCCTCAACGTCAATTTACTTTTCTTGCAAAGTGCCAATGTTGTTTTCATAATGAGCAATTTTTTTTATTACATACTGGAAGATTCATTTTTCTTATCAAGGCGAAGATGGGCTCTGACTTGCCCTGGTTCACATCCATCACAGGTTTCACTGCCAGGGTGTATGTGAAACGACAGTACAGTTTCTCCAATCTTGACTTCATCACCATGTTCCAGAACATAAGGATCACTTTTTGCTTTAGGCTACAGCAAACAAACAAATACATTTTTTAAAAGTTAAACTGCAGGTAAGTATTTATAAGATATCCCTGAACAGCTTTTTCTGAGAAAGTTCACTAAATGTCCAGTGCAAGAGGCTACACTGGGAGTACAGAGAAAGATGTTGAAAGGACAGAGGAATGGAAATTGCTGGTGGCAGAAAATGGGAAGGATAGGCAAAAGTATTTTTAATTTCTGTGCTTACCTGCAGTATTTGATTTCCATTAATCACAGTACCATTCTGACTGCCTTGATCCACGAGAACATAATTCTGCAATTCGTGATCGAAGTATACTTCTGCATGAAACTAATTAGAAAGTAAAGTTAATCTAAAATATGTTCCTCTTATTAACACTGCCCATAAAGAACAGATAATTTTAAACACAGCAAATCAATACTTTCTCAGATTACAGTTCAAATGTCGAAGGATGAATTACCTTACTAATCCCAACTTCTGGAATCTGTAGAGTGTGTTCCATACCCTTCTCTCTGTAAAGGAAGACAAGTGTTAATGCTCACAGGGAGAAGTACTGTGAAAAGCTTCCCTTAGTAATCCAAAGAGCCCTTGAGAGCTTGATAAGAGATGGCAAATGTGGAGTGGTTAGAGGGCTGGCTAGGACCTGGGAGACCCAGGTCTGAATCCCCACTCTGTCAGGGAAGCTTGCTGGATAATCTCGGCCAGACACACACTCACAGACTACCTTACAGTAGAGATGTGAAGGCCCAGAAAAAAAGAGAAGGAAAATTCAGAAAAAAACAAGCCCCCCCCCCTTCTAACAGAAAAATTGGAAATTTGGGGGGAATACTGAAAAAACTCCTATAAAATATTTTCTCTTGTTGAATGAGTGAAATGCTTTTAAAGACACGGTTGGCATGCCCTAGATATAAAGGTAAAGGTTCCCTTGCTCGAAAGCCAGTCGAATCCGACTCTAGGGTTGCGGTGCTCATCTCCGTTTCAAAGCCGAAGAGCCAGCGCTGTCCGAAGACGTTTCCGTGGTCATGTAGCCGGCATGACTAAACACCAAGGCGCACGGAACGCTGTTACCTTCCCACCGAAGTGGTACCTATTTATCTACTTGCAATTTCTTGCTTTCGAACTGCTAGGTTGGCAGGAGCTGGAACTAGAGACAGGAGCTCACCCTGTCTTGCGGCACCCGGGTCTTGAACCGCTGAACTACTGACCTTCCACAGCCTGCAGTTCAGCGTCTTAACCACTTGAGCCACCGCAGCTCCTATGCGGTGATATACTCACACTAAAGATATAGCACAGGGGTACTCATTTGGTGGCTTGTGAAGCCCTAGATATACACAGCTCTTAAATTCAAGATGCATTTCTGCACCTAGAAGGATAACTATTTATTTATTTATTATTTTGATTTATACCCCGCCCTCCCCGCAAGCAGGCTCAGGGCAAATTGGAAAACTTCATGAGGGGAGCATGCAGGGCTCTCATTGTTTTTCAGCTGCTGCATACCTTCTGTTGTGTTTTGACATGATTTGTGGTTGACCTTTTCATCTCTCCCTCAAACCATTGTGATACATACACCCACAGATTGGATAAAAATAGGCTGTTGACCTACCTTGCAGGAGAAAAGAGATCAGGAGATGGGGCAGAAACTACACCAAAGTCTCAAAGGAAAACTGAAAGTTTCTTTAAAAACTTAACACTCTCTAATCAGAAAGCAAGAAATAAGCAGAGGGTGCATCAGCTTGCAGTTTTCTCTCAAGTACTGGGTATATTTGCAATTTTGCTTGTATAAAACTGAGGCATTTATAACTTTTAAATGTAATAAATATATCAAATATTTTGATCTTATGTGCTAAATTAGTTATAAATTATGTATTTTATGCTGTCACAGAAGTAAAATTAGTTTAGGTTTGATAGGTCACTAAATATTGCATATATTTCAATCCCCCCCCCCATTTCTATTTGTTTCCCCCCATGGATTCAAAATTTCTGGAAATGGTATACCTCTACCTCACAGCCTTGTTGTGAGGGCAGCAGAACAGTGTAAGCTGCACTGGGTTCCATTGGGGAGAAAGACAGGATATAATAAATGAAATAGATAAAGAAAAGAAGATAGGAAAAAAAGAGGTCCCCCGGAATGTCTTTTTGTAATGGTTCCAATGACAAGTTTTGGGGAACGTAGAAGCTAACCCCTATGAAATATTTTTTGCCAGAATGAATGAAATGCTTTAAGATCAGACATTACTCACACTAAAGATATAGCACAGGGGTACTCATTTGGTGGCTTGTGAAGAGCCACATTCACAGTTGCCATCATCCAATAGAACCACATTTACTTTCATCCCTGGCATGAGGCCCGCACCGCAGGGAGGTTCATAGCTTACAAGTTCTTCTATTTCAAGGTGCAAACTACCTGCCAACCAAAAGTTCCACTTGGCAATAGCCTTGTCTACTTTCCTGAAACACTGTACAGGTACCACACTGGCCCCCAAGCTACTGAGAGAGCATCACATGCCATTTATTTAACTCTGCGTAGGGGATACCATCTTTTTTCCGTACACCAATTATTTTCTTCCTTTCAGTTTCTTTACATAGACAGTATGCAAGATATCTTCCTGGTTTGTTTGCATGTTGAAAATGTTTTTGTTTTTAAAAACTCAATTTTTTCTGCATTTCTTCAGTTTGACGTTACTGTGGTGTGGATCCGGATGGCCAGATCAGTAGTTAACAAGAGGCCATCTTATGTGCTAGGCTGAGTTGGAAAAAAAACCATTTTTGCAGCTACATTAACTTGCTTCTCCAGCAATAATGCTGGGTCCAGTATAATGCCAAGGCTCTTAACCAAGCCAACAAGAGTCAGCTGAACACCATCAAAAGTGGGGAGCACAATGTCCTTCAAGTTCTCCGCCTTCTCAACCACTGTTACCTGTCTTTTCAATTTGTTCACACCTGGCAAATTTACCACAGCAGCCAAGCAGTTATTCAAGACCTCTACTGCATCACCAGGAGCTTTGGATAAAGATATATAGAGCTGGGTATCATCTACATACTGATAACAACCAACCTCAAAGCTAAGAACAATTTATCCTACAGCTTTACATAGAGATTGAAAAGCATGGGGGACAGAATTTCACCCTGTAGAAGTCCACAGGATAGGTCCTACACTTTGTTATAGTACAGCATCTATTTTTAAACAATAAGAGCCATTAAGCTGTTAAACTGTGATGCTGATTTTATTGTATTTAATTGTTGGAAGCTGCTCTGAGTCCTGCCTGGTGGAGAAAGGAGTGGGATTAAAATCAAATAAATATATAAGTAAATAAATTTTGCCTTTATTCAGAATCTGCCCCCCCAACGCCACCTTCACTTCAAGCCTGTAATCCTTTGATTCATGTGCTTCAGTATTCTATTCTGGATAAGCTAATTACTATTTCAGAGTCCAATTTATTTTGCAAATACATTTTGTTGTATTCCTGAATTCTTCCTGGATTGGTCATATGGGGATTTTAAATTCCTTACCTCCCCCTGCCCTTTTAAGGCAAATGGGACTCAACAGCCAATTTGTTATAGTCAAAATGTATATCAGGCTCACTAAAGTTAAGGACCTCATCAGCTAAAGTTGTTCGAAAACTCTGAAGTAAAATAAATACACTAAGTACAAGACACGAACACAAAAGCAGGTAACCATGGTTTCACATGAGTGCACAAATTTACATTACCTTCCAATAGTGGCAGGCTTGACAGCTGTGATGATATACAGAGATCCCATCTGCAGAACTGGTGATCTAATTACAATCACTCTAATACAAGGTGGCCAGATCTGGTCTCCATCTAAATTCATTTTAAAAAAGCAAACATTAGACAAAGCAATGTCAGCCTCTCCCATAACACTTTCAAATTTCAAACTAATCAGGTACCATGTTAACTACTAAATCAGTTCAATTAAATTGACCAATGTGGCAAAACCCTGCTAAAAACAGTGTACAAGCACCTCCACTAAGAAAACTTTGACAGGTATATTTTTCCAGGTTTTACCATTAGCTGACCAGTGTCATAGAATCACTACAGCACAATTGCAGTTGTTTCTGGTAGCAATAAAGGCCAACTGCCAGAACTCGTTTTGAAGAGCGAAGAAGAACAGTTGGATTTATAGCCCGCCCTTCACTCAGGAGTCTCAGAGTGGCTTACAATCTCCTTCCTTTGGCTCCCTACAACAGACACCCTGTGAGGTAGGTGGGGCTGAGAGAGTTCTGAGAGAAGTGCTCTAGAGAGAACAGCTCTGAGAGAACTGTAACTGACCCAAGGTCACCCAGCTGGCTGCATGTGGAAAAGTGGGGAATCAAACCTGGTTCTCCAAATTAGAGTCTGCTACTCTTGACCAATACACCAAACTGGCTCTAAATACAGCTCCCAAAGTGATGCAACTACATCACTGGACAGAATGAAAGTAACAAGAGGGCAGGTACACCCAAGAGCTTTAATAACAACAGAGGAAAGATAACATCAGGGCTCTTTTCATGATCTTTACTTCTTAGGCAGCATGCAGACTTACTACATGGCAGCTATTTGACCACTCAGGAACATTTGGAGTACTGTGTCTAGATGTATTTTTGCAGTATCTCAAAAAGGATGTTGCAGAACTAGAAGTAGTACAGAAGAGGGGTACCAAGGTAACTCAGAAGACTGGAACACCTTTCCTTTGAAGAAAGGCTAAAGAGTGTGGGACTTTTCAGGCTAGAAAACATGACTGAGGGGGGGTATGAGAGCGCTATAAAATTATGAATGAGGTGGACAAAGTGGATAGAAAAAACTTTGTTGCTCCCCCATAATATAGCATGTGGGGGAAGTTACTGGACAACAGATTCAGAACAGAAAAGGATATACTTTTTTGTTCAACAAGTAAGTTGTAGAATTCACTGCCAGTGAATGTAGCATGGATGATGTTAAAAGGGGATTAGACAGATTCATGGACAATCAGCAGCTACTAGCTATGGTGACTAAAGGGAACTTCCACATTCGGAGGCAGCAAACCTTTGAATACCAGTGCCAAGAGGGAACATCAGGAGAGGCCTCAGCCTCTACATCCCATTTATTTGGCCTTCCAGGGTTACAGGTTGGCTATTTTGTGGAACAGACTGCTGGATGAGATGGACGACTGGTCTAATCGAGTAGGCTCTTCTTAAATTAAGATACCTCAGGACAGGGAAGAAATGTCGTCTTTCCCTCTATTGCAAGTAAAACTGCAAAATTATGGACTGCTAAGTGCAGTTTAAATTGGCTCCAAACCAAGGATGGATGAAACCTAAGTCCTTGCACTCCAGAAGCAAAGCAACACTGGATATATTATATAGCTCAGAGACTTTGGAACACTGCTATGCCAACCAAAATCCACAACAGCAAACTCTGAACATCAGTAATATATTGAATTTTTGTTCTATTCAGAAAGACTGCCTTCTAAAGATAGCACACACAGCTCCCTCCAAACTTTGCTTTACTTACAGAGAACAGTTAATGAAGTTTCACACAGACAGTGTTGATATGCTGTGAATGTTGCAACTGCCCAGGGTGCTATACTGAAAATGCAGCCACATTTTACACCAAGGTAAAGAAACTCTTGCTGCTCCAAAAGTCCTCTCTCATACTCTGGGGTTTCATCTGAATATGTTTTCTGGGAATCACTGCGTATTTGAACTCTCACACAGCAACTGAAGCTTCAAATACTGCAGCTGATATACTAAACTCTGTACTTGCTAAAAATATGAGCTTAACTGGCTAGTTGCATCAGAATGCATTTTTATGAGACACACATAAGAAAGTAGTGGTGGCCAGTAACTGTATCTATCAGGAAGAATAATAGGGCTTCAGTATACATTTATCTCTATTACATGTATAATTATTTTCTAGCAAGCCAATCTCAAAGCAGTAGGAAAAAATACTGTAAAACATCTTTATCCAACTGCTTCTGCAAAGATATTTACTTGCAGTAATATTAGGAGACTCTACATGAGAACAGAATATTGGAAAACATTTACCATTTCACTGAAGACTGATTTTTGAGACATGAAGCATCCAGACAATGCAGATTTCAGTTTTTATCCTTGTCATTTTCCTTTTTTTGTTTGTTTCACAAATGTTAACACTTAAGAATATTTCATATAAAGCCAAAAATCACCTTCACTGTCTGTTTCTTCTGAATTTACACTTTCTTCACTTGTTACTTCATCTTCACTACTATAATCCTCCTGTCCAGAATCCGTAATTTCCCCTTCTTCTGGCTCACTCTCCGACTCTGTTTTACTATCATCCATAAGAAAACCAGTGCACTGTTTGACCTTCTTGGTAAAACTTAAACTGGTGCCATTTGTGGTACTTGGTTCTTTGGATGCTAGGCTGTTTCTTGTACCATTGTCCACTTTAGCCTTTTTCAGATTTGGAAATTCTTCTTCTTCTGGAGAACTTAGTTCATTAGAAGTGGAAAGACAATTCAGAGTGCTGGATGATTTTTGCTCATCTGTATCCTGGGGATTTATAGAAAAATCACACTTGAGGTATTTTAACATGTTTTATAATGTCTGGTTTCTTTTCATTAACCTGCAAGCAAGCTAGTTTATTTAAAGGTATTTTGTATGGAAAAGTAGAATGGTGAAATCAGTTGTTATCCATTCAAGTCAAACCGTTCTAATTTAAGGCGTTATGGCTAAAGTCCTCTTCAGCGCTCAGATATTACAATCAGTTTACCATAGATCTTCAAATCCTTTCACTGACTTTAGAGATTCTGTCTTCATATTTTATTTTTTTCAAAAAGCCAAGGATGTTGTTGTTTCTACATATGTATTTGCAGAGACTTCTGGTTTGCTCCTACTATTTTTTCCCTACCCCAGTAGGAATTCATGTGTTTGTAGCATCCATTATTCAGTGGTCCACAACTATACTGACAAGCAAGTTCGCTTCCAAGATGTATCAAGAAGAATATGCAGAACAGCCACAACACACTGCCCACCCTCAGCCTTGAGATATCACATGCCAGCCTAGAACAGTTTCTGAAGCTGCACCAGGACTGGCTGGCCACATGGAAAGACATACTTGCTGAATAATCATCTACCACCTCCTACCATCCTAACATCTTTAAAGGAATCCATTCAGCTGTTAGTATTAACAACCTAATACTCTACTTTATAAATCATCCAACATGAACGGCATTACTTAACAGTTCCAACAATGTCCCATGGAGAAGTGTTGGTTAACAATTCCCATCTATTGCTGAAAACAGGAACAAAACTATACAGTTACAAAATTAATGCATTTGTGTAGCCTTGCAAAATTATTTTGCATAAAAGGAAATCTTATGTTTACAATGCGAGTCTGTCTTATACAGCGTAGATTTATGACGACTATGCAGTTAAAAATACTACAGTGTTTAACGACAAGCTGCTACTTATTACAACCAAATATTCTCCCTCAGTTCAGCAATTTGCTGATGAGTCTCTGAAATATCAGTCTAAATAATCTCAACTACTGATGTGTTCCCCAGTATCTATCCCCAGCACCCAAGAAATGGGGCTTTGTACTTCTCCTGCCTAAGTGTAACAAGCCCTCATTAAGCAACAAGCATCTATTCTCATTTTCTTTTTCTAAGCTCACTGAAATGTATATTTGTTGGTTTTCATATACTGCCACTTCATTCACAAAGCCAAAATCATCAATGTCAAATACAATCCAATTTCCCCCCAGCAAATATTTTCCTAACACCAAAATGTAGACGTGCTCCTTATTCTCATCATTTCAGAAAACTAATCTATATGCAATGCTTCCTTTAGAGCTTGATATTTCTTAATATTTTTAAATATACAAAATAAGAAGTCTACATGTTTTGATTTCCCCCCATGTGAATAGCAAGAAGCCCCCCACAGTAAAGGGGAGTATACATATGATGCCGTGCAGAGTTTGTGTGCTTCTCCAATTTGCTCCTGAGAAAATATATATTTCCATTTTTTTCCAGAAGGGAAACTGCTGAGCAGATGCAGGTGGAGTGTCCATCTAGATGCTCTCCCATTGCTTTTGCGCAGGTGCAACACGGGAAGAGAGAAAGTAGCAAGGGGAGCGACAGTAATGGTGAACCGATGGAGAGGGGAGTATGTGGATGCCATTCCACATTACTCTCTGCTGTGGCAGAGAAGCATTTGATGTCCCTGTGTGGATCTAGGGATATATTCCATTTAGGGATATATTCAATTTCTAGTGTTAAACTGTTAAACTGTTAAGACATATTAAACCCAGTGTCTTCACAGCTCCTTTTCTGGAAGTTGTTAGGAGGCATAGGATTTATTTTAAGTGCAAATACATACAGTTAATTTCAAGTTTTATTTAAGAGACAGAATTAATTATAAACACTGTACATTCTTTACAAGTAAGCTTCATATATTTGATATCATAATTTCACTAGCATGAGGACCTGAATTTTCAATATGACAAAACTAATAGGAAAAAATGCATCCCCTGCAGTAGGATTCTGCTTTAAAGATTCTAACATAAACATAAATACACAACTTTGTCCTCACTTTCAAGCTGAAACCACAAAATAAATCATAAAGATGAATGGAGCTTTTTGGATTAAACAACCACAATTTTCTGATCTTGCAAGATCTGATCTTAGCTTTAGACTTTTTTTTTGCTACTGCACTGGGGAAAAAGCCTATCAAAAAAGTTCTTAGAGAGGGACTTGTACAACTATCTGCTTTAAACCAGATCATGGCTAATACAGCTGTGCAATTTGCTATTTGCCCATTCCTCTCAGTAGGTAGGAGAGTGTCAAGCTTAATGTGTGCTGTCCCTTTCCTGCCAGTTTGTCTTAATAGTGCTTATTTTCTTCTGCCACTCCTGGTTCTGATCCCAGCAAAACATTCCATTAGAAAGAAAGTTTCATAGATACTGTAATGATGAACTCTATTCGGAAACAACAACAATACTGAGGAGGTGTGTATAGCTGAGCAAAGAAAAATTAGAACAACTACTTGGAGAGGAGATGGGCAGTGACCCAACCAAGGTATTTTAAAGGCTGGGCTAAACTGTTCTTAAGTCACAGCAAACGTCTAAATTAGCAGCATTTCCCCCCCAAACCATTTCTTGCTATGTCAATTAATTTTAAATTTCTCTCAGGCCCAGATGTAAATATCCACTAATGGTTTTTGTGCTATAACTCTACCTTCACCAGCAGTTGCCAATCCAGAAGATGAAATCTTCAGATTAGCCATGGTTTCTGTCAATTGATGTACCTAAAGATGAACAGCAGCAAACAGTAAACTATACAGTGTAAAAAAAAATTTGTATCAAGAGTACTATGGAAAGATTCTGCTTCCAAATCAGCTTGTTTCTAAATTCTAAGACTTATATTTTCTCATAACTGCAAAAAAACAAAAACAAAACCTTTTCATTCTTCTCACATATAAAAGTACACTGCCACAAAGACAGTGATTTTTCTTTACAACCAGGAGGTTCACCATGATATGAATGCTGTGCAGTAATTTCTAGAATTAGGAGTCCCAATTAGGGATGGGCATGAACCAAAAAATGGAGGCTCATTTAGGTTCGTGGTGCTACACAAGCCACAAACCTTCCCAGACCTTCCAGGTTACTGTACCGATTTGTTTTGTGAGGTTCGTGATGCGGTAAACAGCCCCTCTGCAGGCTAGAGATGCCAGACTCGTAGCATGTCTCTAGGTGACTTTCCTCTACCTGCCCTCCAAGTTTGGTGAGGATTGGATTTAGGGGGGGCCAAGTTACAGCCCCCAAAGCAGATGCCCCCAGGAAAAGGCTCTCTGGCATGCTTCCTGCTGACGGAAAATAATGGCCGTGTGTGAGCTGGGGGTATATCTCATTCTGCTCCCATAGAGCAGAATGGGAGCTCTCTTACTGGCAGCCAGTGCTGCCTATCGCACTTTGCAGGGCTATTATTGGTGTTACAAGGGCTGCAGAAGTCCATCCCTTCCCTCTCTGCTTCTAACTAATGCACGGTGCACCTGCTGCTGGTGAGCTCAGTGTTTATATCATTTCACTCCCATAGGGCAGAACAGGAGCCCTCTTACTGGCAGCCAGTGCTGCCAGTTGAGCTTTTGAGGGCCACTATTGGTGTTTTTAGGGCTGCAGAAGTCCACCCCTCCCATTGCTTTGAAGATCCTAATTGACTGGCACCAGCATGTAAGCTGTGGATGCTGCCACCATGAGCTGCATGAACCTCCAAAAACCAAGTGGAGAGCCATGGGCGACTCGTTGGGGTGAGATTGCACGGACCTCAGTTCGTGAACCTTGACCCAGGTGACTTTAGTTGGAAATTTTGGGTTGTGGGGAGGTTCGTGCCCATCCCCAGTCCCAATTCCAACAAGGGAATACACAGCATTCCTATCACAGCAAACAAGTGGAAACAGACAATGATTGTTCCCTGCCTAAGGGTCATGTAGGCAACACCCATGGAGGGGGCAGAGAGTTGTAATGCAACTCCTCTTGTGGCATCCTATAGGACACTTTGGCCTCACGGGTAGGGTAGAGGAGGAGTCTCACAATTTTCTAGGAACTGGGCCTAGGTCTCGCCTGCATTAGCATAAAACACTGTAGCTAAACATATATGGCTGAGCTTAGAAACTTTACATAAAGAGATGAATTTTACAACAGTCTCACATGCAGAATCTCAGGATTTCTTAGATGTCACAGCAGCCATAGGACACACTGTTTCAATATCTGTTATGTGAATAACCTGATTAGCTCCCAAAAAGAAAGGTTTACTTCAGCCATACACAAAGTGGCTTCCACACATCCTGGCATAGTATCTTTTCTTAATTTACTGAACAGCTGAGGAGCCTGAAGACCACAAGGGAGATAACTAGAATGTTAGACTGAAGGCCTTTGCTATGGCAATGAAGAAAGCTTTCTTCCACTTCACCCCCAGGCATCTGCAGATTACTTTAGCTGCTGAATGGATTACAGCAGGATTACTGATCTCTGGTCTATCCCTTAAAAAGACTCAACCAACTAGATTAGACATAAATCACTTATGGGGCACAGTCTATGCTAACAGCAACCTTGTCAAGCAGCTGCTTCTTGATATTACACAGATTGTACTAGTTGGTATTTTGCCTTTAATATGAACAAGGGGACTGTAAAAGTACACATAATGTGTGCTGCAGATTTTTGGCCATCTTGACTAATAAAATCTAGCTGGGCATAACTGTTTTTTTTCCTGGAGGAGGAAATAAATGTGCCTTCACAGTAGTACAAATATATCTACTATATTAAAAGAAGCAGTAATTCATTCCTTGCCTAACCAATTATCACTGACTAAGGTGATTTCTCTAATCATCCAGTTTCCAATCTGCCTGCCTGGACAAGATGAAGGAGCATATTTTGCACCATAAATCCAGGCTTCTTGGAAGGTAAACATTTATCTGATCCATTTCTATATATTTTCTTCCCCGGTCACTAAACAAGGACTGCCCCAGTAGCCTTAGTAGATAGTATTTTGCCTAGACATCAGTACTTTTCGATATAAAAGGTAAAGGTAAAGGTTCCCTTGCTCGAAAGCCAGTCGAATCCGACTCTGGGGTTGCAGTGCTCATCTCCGTTTCAAAGCCGAAGAGCCAGCGCTGTCCGAAGACGTTTCCGTGGTCATGTGGCCCAGCATGACTAAACACCAAGGTGCACGGAACGCTGTTACCTTCCCACTGAAGTGGTACCTATTTATCTACTTGCAATTTCTTGCTTTCGAACTGCTAGGTTGGCAGGAGCTGGAACTAGAGACGGGAGCTCACTCCGTCATGCGGCACCTGGGTCTCGAACTGCTGAACTACCGACCTTCCACAGCCTGCAGTTCAGCGTCTTAACCACTTGAGCCACTGCAGCTCCCACTTTTCGATATAGCAGACCACAATATTCCAATAGACTACCTGCAATACCTATTGGGAACTACAACAAGTTCTCTGGAAGTAGGAAATGGACAGAAAGTGGTACACACACAGATAGTTGGTGGTACAGTGGGAAAACCTCTGCACCTCTAGTTACAGACATCTTATTTCTGTACAGCAGAAGCAATTTCCTTCTCACCATCATTCTTGATACTAGCTCTAATTGATCCAGCACTGGTACAGTGAGAACCATTCCTTTTTGTTAGCTGGGGAGCAGAAAGCTGTTTTTCAGAGTGGTGAACAGACTAGGCTGTTTCACAAGACTCTGCCTATTCAACTGCATTCCTTAGGGAAAGTTTTGTATTTTGTTCCTTTAGAACATGTAAGTGCACCCCTCCTTTTACATATTTAAATAAGAGCTGAAGAACAAGAAGAGCTGAAGCAGTTATAAAGCAGACACCCGGGACAGTGGGAGTGGGGAAAGAAGCAGATTATTCATCATTATCACTACCCAATAAGTGTCCAAAACAGTAACTACAGAAGCACTTTGTGATACTTCTGGAGGTCAGTTTCAGCCTTTCCAAGGTAAAGCTAAATTATTATTAAAATTTACAATACTAATGACCAGGTACCGCACAATAACAAACATATTAACAAAGGACAGTGACATAGATACAATACTGTCTCCTGGCTGCTCTTCTGGAATCAGCCAAAGAAAAACTGCTACAGCTATGAATTACTTCTTTAATGTACTTAAAAACATGAAGCACAAAATTCAATAAAATCAAGAAATAACTCAGTAAATCTAGGGTATGTTCATGCACAGCTGTTTCACATAAATATTTTGCTGTTGAAATTTATTTGCAATTCTGTTTTAAACAGTTTCTCAAACAAAATTGTATATGGTCACCTTTTGCATGGTTTATTGTGAAACAATGTATTCAATATTCATTCATAAGATGTAACATTTACTAAAAATACTAAATCTTAGATTACCTGAGCCTGAGAAGTCAGAGTTACTCTGTAGAATCTACTTATATGTGCTAGTGAACTTTAAAGGCTCATCTTAATCAGTTTATGCTTACTCTTTGGGCCTGTACAGACTCAGAATTGGAATGAAAGCAGCCACAACCGTTACAGAAGAACTACTATATTGGTATTAAAGATACATTCTGTAACAATTCTCATGCTTCACCTGTGAACTTGAATTAGCAGAATTAGCATCTTCAGATTTAGTTTAACTTTCCTCACTCACCATCACAAGGTATAAAACACCATTTCCATGAGTGAAAGATGCTTTCTGCACAAAGAAGAGTACCCCTGTATCCAAGCCCACTGTCACACAGCACTCAAGTAAAGAACAGGTGACATGTAGGAGATTCCTGAATGGGTCCCCTCATACTATACATTTTTTAAAAGCAACGGGTTGGGGGGCCCTGATTTACATCATGGCCATGACACCAGAGGAAGGACAAACTAACACTCCCCCATGGTTTCTCAACAGGAGACCAGTACCCTCAATTGCATTAATAATTCAAACCATAAAGTGTGACAACTGGCTTCTAGCCATTATGAAAACAAAAAGACTTAAAGGATTTCCTTTAAACATGTTAAAATTATTGTAACAGGTTCAAATTATAAATAAACTGAAGAACAGGCAAAATAAAAGCTCCATTTATTGAAAAATGGCCTGTAAATTATTCACTTTGTGTCTGAACTTCCTTTTTAAAGAGTCTGTAAGATTTTCATAGTATTTTTGTATTAGCACATACAGGTATACACTTCTCTTTTACAAACATGTTTTCCTCCCCTCCTTTCGGCTTGTATGGAATCTGCACATATCTGTTAAAAAATCTAGCATAAGACATGAGTTACTCCTAATACTATCTCCCCTAAGAAGTCTCTCTAGCTCTTCTAAAAACCATTTAGCTGATGCATGGAACATTGCAAGGTTAGAGTATTTCTTTTGTATAACTGCTCTTTTGATCCATGGACCTGTGACTCTTCATACATGTCCATATATCCTTACTGCCTACATCTGATGGAATTCTCTAAGAACCACTGAGAACTTAAAAATTTCATGCCTTATTCTGAAATATCCACTATCAATCACAATCTTGCTTTTCTATGTATGACGTATATAAACTGTGGTAATTTACTTCTATTCTTCTTGATAATTCTTCAGAGTACATTATAAATTAACTGAAACAAAACCATCTATACAACTTATCTATAGCTAAAAAATGTTCAAATCATGCTAAGACCAGTCCCTAACAACTTTTGGGTGTGATAAGCCTTAATTCTGTGTACAGGAATGGGAGTGTCTCTGTCCGTCCCGTCCCCCTGCCATGGAACTGGCAGCTACGGTGAGGCAAGGGAGCGGTCATTATGCCAGCACCCATTTCTGCTACATCAGCTGGCCAATGGCAGCTTGGAGAATTATGCAAGCACTGGGAAGGCTCCTGATATCTCACAAGAGGCTAAGAGAGTACATGACACATGAGCAGCTTGCTCAGCCTACTTGAAATCTGACTGGAGGCGTTAGAGGAGGATGTGACTGGCTACCCACTCTGAACAACAAAGGAACAGGTAGTGAGGGAAGGAGGAGGGTGAGGGTGCGGACCAAGTGTCTCCTTCCCTGGTCCTAAAGGAGTTGCAATGGAAGCCAAGATGGATCCACACCCTGGAAGTTGATTTTCAGGAATGAGGTTTCAGACCCCAAACTTTCCCTATGACTGAACTCCAGAATATAGGAGAGCAAATATGGAGGGAGGGGTGGTTGGGCACTATTATGTGTGCATATGTGCACACAGACTCATCTTTTCTACCACAATTCACTGCCACAGGAAGTGGTGGCAGCTACAAGCACAGACAGCTTCAATAGGGGATTGGAGAAATGTATGGAGCAGATGTCCATCAGCGGCTATTAGCCACAAGGTATAGATGGAACACTCTGTCTGGGGCACTGGCGCTCTGTCTTCTTGGTGCCTGGGGTAGGAGGGCTCGTGGAGTTCTGGCCCCACTGGTGGGCCTCCTGATGGCACCTGGGTTTTGTCTGCTGTGTGACACAGTGTTGGATTTGATGGGCCAGTGGCCTGATCCGTGGCTTCTCTTATGTTTTTATGTTACCAGTATTCCACTGATTTTTGCTTGTCTGGCAACCATAAAACTGTTGTTATTGCAGTGAGAATACTGCAAATGCACAAAAATACAAAAATACACTCTTGACAAAACATCAAGCACCCAAGGAGCAAAGTGGGCCTTCATAGTATGCTGAACACACAAAACCAGCAAGGCAAAAGTATAAACAAACACACAAAACACTTTTGCTAATTTGCAATATCCATGACTGAATATAGATCAAACTTGGACTGCACAGCTGTTCTCAATCAGCATCTGTCCCACAGTCTACCAAGTCTGTGTTGCAAGGCAGAGAAGTCCCAACTTTTTTTTTAGCTCCCACTCAGGTCACTGATAATTAAATTCAAGCCATTATCTACTGCAGGACAGAGAACTCTTTAGCTGTCTTTATAATTTAAGACGGAAACATGTAGAGAGAAGAAATAAAGGCAAAGTGCCTGCAGTGGCAGCTAATTCTGGATTTAAAAAAAAATATGAAATGAGATACCAGCTCCAGACAAAGCAGAACAAGAACCCGAAGTCAGACTCAGGCTGGCAAGAAAATTTCTTCCAACTAATCAGCATAAAGCAAATCCCACATAAATGTGTGTATAGTTATTATACAGCACAAACATATTGCCAAGTCAACTAGCTCTAAGTTGTAGCAGACCTTAATGCCTCAGAGAAAAAGGGAAAAAATGCCTGCTGACCCCAATGTGCCTTGAGACACCAGAACCAAAGTATCCTTTATAGTTTTATCCAGATTTTTCTGAAATCAGTTGTGCTAACTACTATCCTCATGGAATTATTTTAGAACTTTATCAAGTGGTTAAAAATGTTTTCTTAATTTCCAACCTAACATTTATTAATGGCTAATTTGTGACTATTAGTTCTTGCATTCACAGTATTTGCCTATCTACCAGCCTCCTGTTCCCCTTTACTACTGCACCTGCCTCACCCAATATATATATATATAAATAGCACAATTCTATTGTCTTACACAGGTTACTGTATTAAAACAGTACAATTGAATAAATATCAGCGCTTTCACTGTTTATATGGTCTAATACTTACCTGAACTTAAAAAAAGAAGCAGCAGATACTAATTTTTATAAATTCACCACAGGTCATATTAAATTGTTATTTGTTTTAAAATACCTTGTGTTCATTTGCCTTAGGGCACTCAGCATCTCTTCTCTTTTTTTTGCTCTTTTTGTCTTTGCTCTGTTGTGCAGCTAAAGTTCCGTAAGACTGTAGATCAACTCGTGAATGGAATTGATAGCGGCCACTTTCAACATCACAGTAATAATAAATTCCAGTGGTTGGATCATAATAAAGTTGGGTTTCCTTTGAAAAGAGCATAAAATCTGTCTTAATGCATGAAATACCAAATTTAAAAGGGAAAGCATGTGAAATGACAAAAAGGCAAGAAAGGTAATGTTTACATAAGCAACAACCCCAAATCTTGAGTAAATTAAATCAGAATTTAACAAGCTTATTGCTAAACCTATGTTTTAAAGGTAAAGGTTCCCTTGCTCGAAAGCCAGTCGAATCCGACTCTAGGGTTGCGGTGCTCATCTCCGTTTCAAAGCCGAAGAGCCAGCGCTGTCCGAAGACGTTTCCGTGGTCATGTGGCCGGCATGACTAAACACCAAGGTGCACGGAACGCTGTTACCTTCCCACCGAAGTGGTACCTATTTATCTACTTGCAATTTCTTGCTTTCGAACTGCTAGGTTGGCAGGAGCTGGAACTAGAGACGGGAGCTCACTCCGTCATACGGCACACTCGGGTCTCGAACTGCTGAACTACCGACCTTCCACAGCCTGCAGTTCAGCGTCTTAACCACTTGAGCCACCGCAGCTCCTAACCTATGTTTTAGAAGGATGTTAAAGAAGGACTAGGACTCAAGATGCAATATATAGATCAACAAGGCTATACCACACACAACGGTTTTTCCCCCTTCTTCTGCTTGACCTACAGTATAGCTGCCTTGTCACTTTTGAGAAGAAAAGCAGGCTAATAGGGCTTTGAATAAAAAAGAAAGAGGCACCAGAGCAATATATACAAACTAAGCAGTGATGTATATGTTAAAAAAACACATGCTTCAGTCCTCCAGAGTTTGAGTCTTCAAAACTGTGAGTTTTAAATGCAAGACAGTAATTCTTGGCCTTTAAATACATACCAGAAAACTCCACAATTATATTTATTAATCTATTACCTTACGTTTCAGTGAGATAATTCATTTCTTCTTAAAATCACATGGCAAATCTTAGGAAAATATGGTGGGACAACCTCACTACACATCAGTGCAGAGCTGCTAGAACATGTACAAATACAGCCTCACAGCATCTAGAACACAAGCTTATGATCATTACACTGTAACTCAGTGAGACCTGCAAAACATACTGAACATTATATGTACAGTGAGATCAAAGGGCCTATGTAAAAATGTTTTTGTTCTGCTTTCCAAAAGAACTCTTCAAACAAGGAGTTAATTTAGGTAGCAGATACCATTATTGCTGTGTTTACTTTGCTTAGATTACTGCTTTAGCTGTAAGCTTTCATCTTGTTTTACTAATACTGTTAAGCTGTCTCCTAACATTTTTTTTAAATGGAGAAGTTACTAATAAATATTTTAAATACATCATTCTCATCTTTAAAAAGGTAAGTATGGCTGGTTATGCACAATTTTAAGAATTTCAGAGGGTCAAACTAAAATCAAACATTTGTACAACATGTATGCAATAAGCAATCAAACTTTATATCCAGTAAACTGACCCCTTATGTTACCTATTATTTTAATGAAAAGAATTCATAAATAAAGACAGGTTAACAGAACTGTCATAAATGACTACCATCAGTATAGATCAAAATGGGTAGCCATGTCAGTCTGTCTGTAGCAGTAGAAAAGAGCAAGAGCCCAGTAGCATCTTAAAGACTTACAAAACTTGTGGCAGGGTATGAGCTTTTGTGAGTCACTGGTCACTTCTTCGGTATCTGAAGTACTAAGCAGTGACTCACGAAAGCTCATACCCTGACACAAATTTTGTTAATCATAGAATGTTAGAGTTGGAAGGGACCTTTCAGGTCATCTAGTCCAACCCCTTGCACTCTGCAGAAGCATAGCTGAAAGATAGCCCTACATACCTACAACATACCTGAAAGATGGCCGTCCAGCCTCCGCTTGAAAACGTCCAGCGAAGGAGTATCCACCCCCTCCCGAGGCAGACTGTTCCACTGCTCAACCACTCTTACAGTTAGGAAGTTTCTCCTGATATTTAACCGGTAACGACTCCCTTGTAATTTCCACCCATTAGATCTAGTCTTGCAATCCGGAGCAAGAGAGAATAGATCTGTTCCATCTTCTACATGACAGACCTTCAAATACTTGAACACTGCAATCATGTCCCCTCTAAGCCTTCTCTTTCCCAGGCTAAACATACCCCTCTTTCAGCCTTTCCTCATAAGACTTGGATTCCAACCCTCTCACTATCCTGGTTGCCCTCTTCTGGACATGCTTGAGCTTGTCAACATCCTCCCTAAAATGTGGTGCCCAAAATTGGACACAGTACTCCAGGTGAGGCCTGACCATAGCAGAATAGAGCGGAACTACCACCTCCCTTGATCTGGACACAATGCTTCTGTTAATGCATCCTAAGATTGCATTAGCTTTCTTCACAGCCACATTGCACTGCAGGCTCATGTTTAGCTTGTGATCAACCAGAACACCTAGATCCCTTTCACATGTGCTGCTGTCAAGTCAAGTCCATCCCATTCTATATCTATGCCTTTGATTTTTTGTACCTAAGTGTAGGACTTTGCATTTATCTCTATTGAAATTCATTTTATTTGTCTCAGCCCACTGGTCCAGCCTATCTAGATCATTTTGAATCCTGACTCTGTCTTCTTCAGAATTAGCAATCCCACCTAACTTCGTGTCATCTGCAAATTTGATAAGCATCCCCTCTGTCTTCCTCAAGGTCATTTATAAAAACATTGTACAACACCGGACCTAGGACCAAGCCC